ACCGCTCGATCCGGATACGAGCGCACTAAAGGGCCATGAAATACACTTGAGCTTGAGCAATGCCAATCGTGAATGAACAACAAATCTAAAACTTTTTCCATTGCTTCAAGATTGTTCCAGGGTCACTAATATTTATACTACTCTGTACCAGCCGATTTGATTGAGAGTATGAAATTTTGAGACGTGCTTCCAAACACGAGAGAGAAGAAAAGCTTTCAACACAGGTAGCCCAAGCTTCTTTGGAGCCGTGAACATTATTTTATGACATTGCATAACAGTGTAAATATAATAGTTTGTATGGGAATGTAACAATCGTATTAGTAACAGTTCGAGATATGGAAAAGAAATTGAATACAAACGACTAACTTCAAATCTTCTGTGTGTTACTTTTGTTTCTGTGCCGTTTTGGGACCGTTTCATAGCGATTCCAGCGAATTTCAATTCATCATTTTCAATTCATCATTTTCAATTCCTCTCTATATAATTATATTCCTCAAGGTGGGCAATTCAAGAGCTTATGGGAAATTACTTCTCACTAAGAGTTTCCTTGGTAGCCCTTTAAATAACTGCTGGATTTTCATCATTACCTCTTTCGGCGTTTTCTGTAGCTGAAATATCTTCTGGCAAATTGCTACGTATAAAATTCTCCAGACTTGAAAAGCGCGATGGATGCGGAGCGCTTAGGATTGCCTCGATAGAAAAGGGCAATACTCTGTTACTGGCACCTCTGTCACTGTGATCTGAATTTCTCCCATTCACGTTGTCCATGCCTGAATTAGACGAATTGTTTCCTTTTCTTTGTATCTCCATGTGGAAAAGTTTCTTCCAGAGGATAGCAAGTCTTTACTGCTGAAAAACACTTGCCTCCGTCGCATGTGTTCTTCATTCTCTGCAAGCGAGTTAGGCCGCATTGCGGCGGCTCTTTAAAACTAAAGGAACCTTTCACCAAGAGGGAGTGCTAATTGTCAAGAAAGTCATAATCCCATTAATCAAGAAACCAATTTGCTGTAGTTATCTGGAAAATGTCTGGCAAACTGTAAATAACGAGAGCCATATTAGAAAACATACATGTTTGTTGCCTTATCAAATGATTTGAAGTGACTAATTAAAGTATAAAACTGCACTTTATCCTAGTGACAAGGCATTTTCTTTTAAACCTTGTAAGTACACCATCCCCTTAGAAAAGGCAAATTAGGTATGCCAAAAAAATAATGTTTCAACTTGTATTATATGGTAAATTCAAAAACATCAATGTAGAAAACTTTATGTCCTAACCAAATTCTATTGACATGTTATGATACAGCCAACTTGTTACAGAAAGACATAATTATCTACATGCAGTTTTGGATTAATGGAGAATAAAACAATTATCTACTAGAGAGTCACAATTTAAATATGCTTTTAATCTATGTACAATTAAATCTGTTTGTTCAAGCCACAGATTAAGGGCAAAATAACTCCTTATTAACTTGTATCCCAGGGCTCGGAAAAAGTGTTGTATGATTGTCTGGGGCAAGTATATTTTCTTGCTGGGCAAGTAACTTTACATTCTCATTTGCCCAATGGTCAAAGGCTCAGGTATGTCATTGGTCGACTAAATCAATAAAGAGCCATCTAAGCCTTGCCCAGGGCAGGCAAAATTTGATACGTACCTGTTTGAAGTGCAAACTGGACTTCAAGTCATTTGCGAGCCCTGCATACCCACATAGATCCCCGCTTATTTAGGCTCCTATTTGCATGTAGCTAAACTCTATTTATCTCATAGATTGGCTTCCATGTCATTAGAAGTCCATTCATCCATGTATGTAGGTTGCGGTAATCAAGATTCTTCAGTAAATTAGAAGAGAACTCTGGAAAGGATCCATGGGTACCCTTTCCTGCCTGCTTCATGTTTGAAAGCATCCATCTGTACTAGATCTTTTATCAACTGCAGAACAGCAACTTCAGGATTTCCAGCAGACTGTACCAGCAAATTTCTGAAAGCCCCCAGTCTCTTCTTATAGAATGGTGGATTACTTCCATTAGTTCAACGGTATTAGCAATTCAAGCTGCTGAATCTTCATTGATGTTGGCAGCAAGTGACTTCCACATGCTTTTAACATCATGATTGAACTGCTCAGTTCTCAAGTCAAGTGGAATGTTCATTCCTGGCAATCCATGTTTGTTAAATGTTCTATTCCATTTAAGGTCATGTGCATCTGATTCGGACAAAATGGCTTCAATTTTGGCTAAGTACAGTAGAATGACAGAGGCGTATTTCATCTTGCCATGTGCTTTGTACAGTAGCAGAGTGACCTTGTAAAAGTCATGAAGCCTCTCACTGTCTCCCTCTTTAATTGCATCGCCAAACTCGAACAAAATGAAACCAAAGGCCAGCTTTGCCTGATGGTAATTGAACAGGAAATCTTCCTTTGCTGCTCCCCCATTTGCCTCCCCCTGCAGATCCTGAGCCTCGACAGTGATATTGGGATGTGCCTTGCTTTCATGGCTAGAAAAGAAAGAAACCAAATTTACGCTCAGGAATTGCCTACTAGTTACATTGTACTATTACATAGTTTCCCAGGGATTACAAATGATTTAATTAGGGAACATCATTTTGCAATTTCAGGAACCTCTCAATATGTTTTGATCAAAGAAACTGATAATCTGTCCTGTCAAAAAAGTACGACATTTTACTTGAGTACTTCATAGAAGATTAATCTGTATACATAGTCTTTCGTAATAAGTTGTAGCTTTATATTAAATTGTTAATACCTGATGTATTTACCTTGTTTTTAAATAAAGATGATGATGATGATGATGATGATGATGATGTGTGGGGGGGGGGATGGGGGGGACAGGCACTTAGAAGCATAACAACACAATGTTTCTATTTTTCCTCACCTATTTCTGGTGGCTTTAGTTGAGAATACTAGACCACATGACACTCTGCAGCGGAAAAAACCAAGCATGTCTTTCTCCTTCCCACGCTCGAACCTTTCCCACACCAGACCATGTTGCATAACTTCGTGTCTGGGACAATGAAAAAAGGGAATAAAACCAACACAAATTGTTGGTTTATTCATTTATTTCATTATTATTATTATTCATTGAAAAAGTGTTAAGTGAACATTAACATTTTCTGTGGGGTTACATGAAGTTTTCGCTTTCTTAGAGGTATTGATGTACTTGCTAAAAAGCAGTCTGTTAACAGACAGACATACATTTTTCTCCAATTAGTTAGAATTTGATTAAAGATCAATACTTGTAATAAGAACAATTTCTCTTTGGTGATCATTTACAATATTCACTCAGATTAAAATGTTTTCTTGTATATGTCTCAATAACACAAGGAGCAATATGATGCTAAAAACTGCATTACCCCTTGTCTGATACTATTGTTTTATTTGCTCTATCAATTTTACTTACTTGACTCTGCTGGAATGATGAACACAAGTTTTGTCACATCCCTCTATTCAACACAAAAAACTTTTTGCACCCATAGCACTCTCCAGCTCATGAACCTGCTGAACCAAAGGTCCGACTTCATTTCCTGTCATTAGATACATCTCCACATATTTTATGCAAAGCTCATGTAGCCATTTCCTTCGAACTTCTTTTCCCAAGTCATCTTTTGATGGCATGTCATAATCTGGAGCATCTATTCCACATAAAAAATTGCACAGAAGGAGTAATGACAGCATCACTTTAAAATGTTCAATACTGTGTATAACTACATCAGTAATATTACCACCTTCTGATTCTTTGAGACTCCTCCTCCCTGAGGAATTTCTTACCTTGATCTAATGTGGGTGAGTTTGAAGATTTTCAGAACAACTAGAACCTCTAATTTGCAAAGTTATTTTATTTCATTAAAAAATAAATAAATAAATAAATAAATAAATAAACAGTTTGTTAGCAGATCATAGAACACAGGCTGTAATGGTATACATTAAGGGTGTAGGAGTGACAATAGATTGTGTTACTAATGACCGTTGAGTAACAGTGAAGCTACTTGTATTGCTCTATCTGCCTTTCTTAACACAGACCTTGTGTTAAGATCAGAAAGTATAGAAAATTATGTATATGGAAACTAAAATAATAGAACCACACAATGATGTGACCATAAAATGGGCTAATTAATTTGTGTTTACCATCAAAAGTTATCATCCCAGACATCTCCATAAAAAAAGCACAGACATGTGCTTCTATTTCCCATTGGTGGAACTCTTTATACTCATTATAGTGATTGTTTACTCCCTTTGCAGCATTTGTCTTGAAAGTTCTGTTCATGCTCGCACGTGAAGTTCCAATCTTTGCAGCTGAGGAGTGGTTTACAAATATGTCACTTTCAACCTGAAAAATCCAAATCATAAATTTACATGCTTAGATACATTCAGAATATTTTATTTTAAAGTCATTCCAGTTAAGTTGTTATTCTGTAATTTAATATATAAAGTATACATAGATAGCAAGTCTGAATCTCCATTTTGAGAATGTTCTTTTTCAATAAAATTTATAACTTATTCTGTTGCAAATTGGTGGTTGTGGGGCTTTATCCCAAAATTTAAAGGCCCTGGGTCTCAGTAACCTAAAAACATTTTCTTCAAATTTTACATTCATAGCACAAATAAAAAAACAGAAAACAGGTCACAAGAAAATCTGTGTCACTACTCTGATGTGATCACAGATAACTGAAAGTTAAAATTTATGGAGCAGTAAGAAAACATAGTCCCACAGAAGATCCATGGATTTTTGCAAGGGATGAAATGCCAAAAGGCAAAAGTTTGTAAGAAGGATAAAGCTATAATAATAACATTCATGGGTATGAATAGGATTTTGGTCACCCTCCCTTCAATTCCACAATACCTAATTAAAATCAAAACATTGAATTACAAACTGTTGTGCTGCCATAATCATGATAATGTTGTTAACTATTAAAGCTCAATTTGTTGTCTTGCATTAATTCAAACCTTATCAATCTCATTCCAGATAATAAACTAATTTCTGTTAAATTGTCTTTTCTGGTAAGAGGCAAGCTATTTACAGAAGATGTCTAGTGATGACAACAACATACTCCCCACCCCTTATCATCTTGGATTTACCCCTGCCATACTACATGTAAACATAATTATACAAACCATGTAAAGGTTGAACTTTGCATGCCAATCTGCAAATTCTGTTTCCAGTCCCTCCAGTCTGTCATAAATATTGTCGCCATCTTGGTAGACCCAATGTGTATTTCTGGCCCTTTCTTCGAACAGCTGATCTCTATGAAATGGAACTGTTTTGAGGACTACAGTTTCTTCTTCAGTTTGCAAAGATGGCCCATACTTCTGCTGGTTGGAAATCATGAGTTGTGCCATCTCACTTGCAACATTTGGATTAAAGAACTCAACACCCAGACTACACTGCAGAGAAAAAACTTCAGGTGATGACACTTTCAAGTGATACATAAAGGTTGATTGCAGTTGCAGCCATTATCCGTAACTCCATACAGGCACCAAAAGAGAAAATACTGAAGAGTTATGGAGTGCCAAAACCCTAGGTTTTAAATAATCCATTATATTTGAATCAAATGTTATTGAGGGGGTGAGAAATGGTCAAACTCACACAAAATCAAGTTTAACATGAATATAACACATTTAGAAAAATGGTATCCTAATACCACCACAGGCATATAACAGAAAATTAATCTAGTCATATTTTTGGTGGGACATACTGGCAAGATTAGTTTACTTAAAAGTAGAGATTTAAAAATTAATCAGAGAAATTAGCAAAGAATACAGCAAATCACACTAATTTTCAAACTGGTGCTAATTTTTTTTTTTTTTTTTTTTTTTTTTTTTGTAATTTTTTTGTCTTTGGTTTTTTATTATCCATTCTGACATATGGCCTTTGGGTAAACATTGTGTATTCCATATTCTTAAAACTAGCAAGTAAGACATTACCACTGATGAAATTATTAAAGCTACACTTACAGTCTTTGATTTTGCTTCAGTTCATCTGAGTAGTGACGAGGATTGTGACGGATAACTACATCTCTGTAGGGTTGGAATTTTGGAAGGTATTTGCAAATGGTTCTGCTCACTAACACAGTCTATCTTGGCTTGAGGCGTTCCAGTGTTCACTCAGTTGGAAGAAGACCAATCAACTGGACCTCTTTAAGTAACTTCTGTGGTCTTGTCGTGTCTAAATTAAGTTCATTGACCCTGTTCAGAACAGCATACTGTGTGTCCAATGTATGGAACAGTTGCTATGTTGTGTATCTTGAATTCTGGTGTTAACCATCAAATCAACACTGTTCCCCAACCAACCTAAGATTTATAGAAACATTTACACATGACTCTCTACGCAATGAGAAGTTACAGAGTTGACACTCATCAGAAACCAAAAAGTTCCTTGACTTTTCACTGACCTGTGAACAATTTTCACTAACCTTGTATTGTGAGGATAATAATAGAAAACGAACTTCAATCACGAGCCAATATACTACTGCTCCTGCACGCACCACTCGAATAGTATCAAAAGCTATTTATCCATGTTTTTCTGACAGCAAATCATTACCCACCTTTTTACTCACTTTGGCAGACTTCCCAGGACTATTTACAAAATTCCCTGACTTTTCCCTGACCTTCAAACATTGTTTTTTCCCAAATTTTCCCTTACCAGAGCAGGACTGTAGCAACCATGTTCGAGAATACTGAAATAATTAAATTGCTTGTTTCCCTTCCTTCCTTACCATTAAAGGTAAGCTTATTAAATTTACACACGCGCAATATTCATTCAATATAAGGGATAAAAACAAATAACATCTGACGTCAACAGAAAATCCTAACTACAGGTCAAAAGCACTTTCGATTTCTGTTTGATGGTAAAAATAATAATAAAGTACTCTAGGGTTTTGAGGCTTAAACTTAAGACTTACATACAGTCTTTGCATTGTTAAATAAAGTTATACAGTTTTGCACTTCAAATATATCATTCTTTAAATACCTGTAGCATGGAAGTTTCACTGCCGCAATGTTTGCTGTCGCTGCTGCTAAATCCTGGTCAGTTAGAACATCTCCATTCGAGACACTGGTGAGATGCTCTTGGCAGAATTTGAAAGTGCTCAGCTCGAAGAGTTTGTATTTCTTGATAGTTTCCTCCGCGAAGTCGACGTCCACTGGCATTACTTTGTCCTCATGATGGCCGACTTGTTTTTCCCTGACTTCGTTCAACAGCAGACTAGCTACTTTAACTTTCTCGATCTCCTTCTTCCAATGACACACTTAAGCTGCACAGCTCTCACCCATAATTCTCTGGAATTCAACAATCATATCCGGAGACATACATACACCCAATTTGTTTAACATTCGTAGATCTTCATGCTTGACGCCGCTATGAAAGAGAACTGCAGAGATACGGTAAGCAACAGCTGACATGGTGGGTTTTCTTGCTCTAGCAGCAATAGATGTCATCAAGGCCACCAAATTTGTTTTCTTGATATCCAGCTCTGAGGATTTTCACACATTGCCCACACCTTTGACACAACTCATCCAGAACGGACACCAAACTCCCGCCTTGTGAACTAATAATTTATTGGTAAAGGAGGCCAATCGTGTGGTCTCGACTTCTTTAGCTCTGAATCTGTAGTATTGTTACAGTATTCTTGAAACTCCACGGCTATGGTTCTTCTCAGAGGATCTGCAAGTTTGTCTCGCACATCCTTAATTGCGAATGCCAAATTTACCGCCATCTTCCATCTTTTTCTGTATAGATTTGCAATCATCAACTTCATTTTATTATCAAATGAACTAAAGGTCTCAACACTGCGATTTGGGTTGACAATAACGACTTTGACTTCTGTAACGCTGCTTTCAAGTAATTCCTCCACATTCATGTGTGAGAGAGCTATTTCACTAGGTGTGACTTCCTGAACTTCCTCTGGCATGTTCGAAGTGATGTTGCTCATAGTCGAGCTTGGTGGATGTAAATCACTGGATTTCAGCAATTTCTTTGATGCTGAGCTTTTTCTGGATGTTTTATGTCCTTTCAGGACTTGTTTGAGGACTGGCGACAAAACAGTCGTTGGCAATAGAGGCTTGCATCTGCTTAAATCACCAGAAACCTTGATCACGGCTTGCTTCCCTTTCTGCAGGCTCGAGTAGATGAAGTTATAAAGAAGCGTTTCTTATTTTACGTGCACAGGCATGGCACACACGATCAGATAAAGTGTCTTATCTTTCTATCTCTAAACCAATTTTCAAGCCGATTTCGGCCAAAGTGCCATTTTGAAATCCATCAAGTTTAGAGACCTTGAATAGATTTCGACAGGAAATGTAAGAGCTCTTCTTAAATTCTCCGAATTTGATCTTAAGTGGACAACAACAAAGTCAACAATTATTGTTAACATTTCTCTGGACTCCTTCCTCGACAGGCTTTTTTGGCATATCGCCCTTTGCCGCCATCGAAATCGGGCAAACACTGCATCGGATGGTATTATTTTGATACTCACAGTGGCTTTTCCCTGCGAATCCATTTCGCACCAAATTGGAAGTTTCATATTACGATCTATGCTCTGATTGGCTGGGATAATATGATCGACAAAACCTATCATCAACCTATCATCAGGTTGTCAAAAATGTAAAAGGGGACGGCAGGGGGGGTGGCAATAAAAAATGTAGGTCATCCTGGCAGGTGGTCCCTCGCAGCTTTGCCGCTCATTGTCTCTCTCCCAGGCTCCTCGCTAGCGGCTTTGCCGCTCGTTTTTGTGACTTTTCCGCTTTGTCAGCGCGCTCACATTGCTTAAACCACCAAGCTATGCAGGCTAACAGACATGCGATCAAGCATAAGCTAAAATATGAAATTATGAAGAATAAATCATGATAGATTTTCAATACATGAAAACAAACAACGTACCCATCTCAAAACAAGTTATAAAAGAAAAATACCTACCTTGGCTACTGAAACCTAGGATATCTTAAAAGTGATAAATGGTACACAAAAGTACCCAATCCTCTCATCTATAGGATCTAAACCGGTGCCCAGTCATCTTAGTAGAATTCCTTTTGATCACATGACTCTCATAAACAGACAAACTTCTGGCTGCCAACTTAATGAGAGCTTTGTACACACAAAAATTGGCAACTTAGAGCATGAGACAGACTTAAACTAGGAGTGAACTGGCCCATTTAACAAAATGAATGGTCTCAGGACAGTGGTGGATCTGGGTTCTCCTACACTTTACATGTATCTCCAAACTTGCAGACACTTTGTTTTAATATTAAAGCTCTCCATTTTTACCTGTTATACAACGTGCACCAGCCACAGAAAGGATCCTTAGGTCTGACACAGTCATCACAGGACAAAGAGGTGCTGCACTCTTCAACTGGTATTCTTGTCACCTTTGCAAGTTATAGTTATATTGTCATCATTAGTTCACCCAGCCCATGTCCATGTCTGTATGATTACAGTTGTATATGGAATAAAGAATACAATTGAGCTCTTTTATGGAATACTATAATGATATTTCACATACTAAACAATAAGCACCTGGGGGTTTCATTACAGGCCTGACACCAGGTAAATTGACCGGCTGTAAATGGAGCTTTGCCCAGCTGCTTCAGCGATAATTTATATGGTACTGTTGCTGTCCCATGCAATTTTCTGGAGACTAACAGACCTCTAAAAAAATAAGCTTATTTCAAGTCATAGAAAACACGATTTTGTTGGTTACAGTACACATTATCTCCCTTGTATCTTCAAATTGCAAAGGAAATTTGCCCCTAAATTTGCTCAATGATGCATTGCAGAAACATGTTATACACATGAAAGCCCACTTGAAATGTTTCAAAATTACTTGCCTAATCATAACAATTACAATTTCCTCAAATGTGGTTGGTGCACAAACTGGTGTATTTTGCTCTAATTAATTTCCTGTCTTCAGTCTAACACTGTAATTTTACCCCAGATTTCTCAAATTATCCAATTTTTCTAACCAATTTTTGTTTTCCTTGAAGGTTCAAAAACTCAAGATTCCACTGTAATTCTGGAATGATAATAGTTTTGGTAGACGTGAGAATTGCGAACGTTTTTGTTTTTACTGTGATTTGAGTGCATTTGTACAACACATGCTTTCAGGCATTGTGTGATTTTTTCCAGGCAATAAGGTCCGCCCCCAAGTCCGAAGGTGCCCATACGCCTATGTCTCAATCAGTTTGCTTTTTTCACTGGTTGCCTAGCACATGACCAATTTAGTTCATATAGTGTGATCGTCC